AAAAGTGTTTGTGAAAAATGAGTTCAAGCGGTGATGAAAGTGCACCTTGAACGACGAGGGAACACCCTGAAAAAGGGAACCCTCACGAGCTTCCCCAGGTGCTCACCAACGACCCCCACAACAAAAGCGAGGTGGGTCTACAGGCGGAGGCAGGGTTGTAGCTTGGCTTACCAGAGAAATGGCCACAATGGCTGTCAACGTAAAAAGTATAACCCAGTAAAACATGGTCATGCATGAAATGTTGATGAGCATGCAAGGCCGATGAGGGTACCCCGTTCCTCCATTTGCAGCCCTTGAAAATGCATTCTGTGACCCTCAGGAATACTATCACGAAGAAGAAGAAGTCCAGAGCTAAATGTCTGGATACCATCCCACTAGAATGGAAGCTCCCCAAGAAAGGGAAGTTGAGGTTGATACATCAACCAATCATGGCTCGGAACAACCCCATGAGGCTCCATACAACTTTCATCTGAACCATGAGCTAGAAACCGACCTCAAAGGTTAGCAAGTATCTTCGACAGGATAAGCTTCGAGTTGCCTAGAAATAAGCAGGCCCATCATCCTCCTCCTCTGCCTAGAAATAGGCAATAGGAGCCTCTCCGGTATGAAAGACAAGAACCTGCCTACCATGAAGAGCCTCGGATCCCTCTCCCTAGAAATAGGAGCGAAAGAAGGGGCCGAGCTATGAGTGAAGCAAGTCTCTCCCAACCACGTCTCCAAACTCACCAAGAGGAGGATGAGAACTCTGATGAACCCCAGAGGTCCTGTGACCTTGGTGACGATGATGACCATTCACCATTCTCACAGTCAATTAAAAATGCCCCAATGCTGAACCATTTCACGCACCCTAAATTTCTTAAGTATGATGGGAGAGGTATCTCCTCGAAGCACATCAACGGCTTCAAAACTCATATTAATTTGAAAGAGGCCACCCCAACTATGAAGTGCAGAGCCTTTAACTTGACCCTAAGTGGAGGGGCTGAAATCTGGTGTACAAGGTTGCCAGAAAGTAGCATTCGGAGCTGGCCGGACCTCAAAAGGACATTCTTAAAGCGCTTTGCTAATAGCAAAGAGGGTGAAAGGCCCATTCAACGGTTGCAAGACATACGACAACAACAAGACGAGATGCTGAAACGTTTCTTGTCCCATTTTACTGATGAAATGACCTACTGTGTGCAAGTCACAAATAGGAAAGCTTTAACTGCCTTAAGAGGAGGCTTGGACATGAACTCTCTCTTTTGGAGAGACGTGCAAAACAA